CGCTTAGCAACAGAAAGTTTGGGCTCAATGGTGGTCGTAAGTCCACCATTGGACTTACGAGCCTGTAGTACAGTGGACTAAAGCACTGTTATTAACACATTAACATCTGCTGCTTGCAATTACTGGAAGTTCAAATCTCCCCAGGCTCAAGTGTTGACTCAGCCTTCCATCCTTTCTAAGGTAGGTAAATTGAGGACCCAGTTTGTGGGGGCAATAAACTGACTTTGCATAAATATACAAAAGTATGAAGGCTATTGCTTAACACATTGTAAGCCGCCCTGAGTCTCCGGAGAAGGGCGGCATATAAATTAAAAGCAAAAAAAAAAAGTCAAGGATCACCTGTATTAGGTAAGGAGCTGCCAATATTCTCAGTTAGTGATCTTTGCAAAGAGGACAGTCATTTTCAAAGGTTCAACCAAGGTGTTGCAGCCGAATCAGAGGGGGAGGAGGGGGCATGAGAGTCGGGGTCAGCATCAAGGCAACCTGAGAGGGGGAAGAGGGAATGGAGATGGCAAAGAGAGAGAGAGAGGGAAACAGAGGCAGAGCCTGGGCCGTCTGTCAGCCGTCAGATGGAGGGTCAACAGCCCCCAGGTCTGGAGGTAGCTGATGAGGAGGAGGAGGAACAGCTGGGTCCTGTGCCTGATATGTGGATGTGCAGAAGGCAGAGGAGAGGAGAGCAGTGGAAATCTATGGGCCGGTCCTCGGGACAGAAGAGCCACCGCTGCTAGTGAAGCCCCACCTTAGCTCTGGGGATAAAAGGCAGGGGGCAGAGATGAATAGATGGGACAGACAACTATTCATCTCCCCTGCTGGATGGACTTGTTAGCCTGCAGTGAGAGAGAAGCTTTTTGCCGGGGCTGCCGGTATTTCTAATAAAAGAATCTTTTGAGTTCCCTTCAGAGGATTTGTTGTGTTTGAGGAGCTGGGTCAAAAAAACCAACTGCTTAAAATGGCAAATCACTTTTTTTAAAAAATGGATTTACTTGCTTGTCAAATTGGTTACTCCCAGAGAGTTATGATACTTCGGTATCATAATACATGCACCTCCTTAATAAATAAAGATGCACGTGGACATATCTCCGGAATAAATCAGCGAAGGTGTTCTGTAAACACGCCTGTCCCGATTTCCGTGCCAGGCTGCGCCTCCCATCAGGCCAAAGTTCAACTGATGGCCCTCGGCGTCACATAAATTTGACGCAGGAGCTGAGTCGCTGGGAGCCCTTTCTCTCCAACGTGGTGCCCTCCAGATACTGGGGATCCAACACACTGGAGACCCCAGACCATCAATTCATCTGCAAAGCACCAGATTGGGATGGTTATTGAAAAGAGACCATCAGCATTCCTGACGTGGAGAATTTGAATAGGATACAGAAGTCCTTGACTTGCAACCGTGATGACGAACTTATGGCATGCATGGCACAGGTGGCACGCGGGGCTCTCTCTGTGGGCACGCGAGACGTCATCCCAGTTCAGCTCCGCTGAGCATGTGTGCACGCCTCCCGCTAGCCAGCTGGTCGTGGGGTTTCTGTTGCGTATGTGCAGGGGGCGTGTGTGCATGTGCAAGAGGCACATGCGGGGGCCACATGCACATGGGTGGGTGGGGTGCATTCAGGGGGGGCACATGCATGTGGGGGGGGGCAGGGGTGAAATCCAGCAGGTTCTGACAGGTTCTGGAGAACCGGTAGCGGAAATTTCGAGTAGTTCGGAGAACCGGCAAATACCGCCTCTGGCTGGCCCCAGAGTGGGGTGGGAATGGGGGTTTTGCAATATCCTTCCCCCAGGATTGGGGTGGGAATGGGGATTTTGCAATATCCTTCCCCCGGGAGTGGGGAGGGAATGGGGATTTTGCAATATCCTTCTCCCAGGAGTGGGGAGGGAATGGGGATTTTGCAATATCCTTCCCCCAGGAGTGGGGAGGGAATGGGGATTTTGCAGGATCCTTCCCCTGCCACGCCCACTAAGCCACGTCCACAGAACCGGTAGTAAAAAAAATTGGATTTCACCACTAGGTGGAGCACATATGCAGGGGCCACGCGCGCATTGCATTTTGGGGGTTCAGGTGCGCATGTGTGCATTCGCGCGTATGCACTCAGTCCGGAAAAGGTTAGCCATCAATGACTTGTTACAATGAAACCACCATTGTTACAATGATTATTTCCAATAACTTTAAAGTCGTTAAGCGAGTCGCGCCCAAGTTTATAATCTTTTCCCCCATGGTCGTTAAACAAAGCCCTCGACATGCCGAAGCAGTGAAAGAGGAAGTTAAGAAGAAGTGAAACGAATCACTCTAGTTGTTAAGTGAATCATACGGTTGTTAAGTGAATCCTCCCCATTGTCTTTGCTGGTCAGAAGCCAGCTGGGCAGGTCGCAAAACAGAATTACGTGACCCTGAATGCTGATTGACAAGTGTCTGAATTTTGACCGTGTGACAGTAGGGTTGCTGCAACCGTCGTAACTGTGAGGATCGGCCATAAGTCCCATTTTTCAGCGCCGTCGTAAGTTTGAATGTTGTTAAGCAAGCGGTTATAAGGTTAATAAGCGAAGCAACTTGCCTCCAGAAGTTGTGAATGCTCCAACACTGGAAATTTTTAAGAAGAGGTTGCATAACCATTTGTCTGAAGTGGTGTAGAGTTTCCTGCCTGGGCAGAGGGTTGGACTAGAAGACCTCCAAGGTCCCTTCCTGTTATTCTATAAGTCAAGGACTATCTCCTAGTGGAGAATTCTAGGAGCTGAAGTCCCAACAGATACCGATTTGAATTTGGGAAGTTCGGGGCAAACTTGCAAACTTTCCCCGTCTGCAAATGTGATTTTTTTATTTTTATTTTTTTAAATGGATCTCCAAACTTCTGCTTTTGTCCTGGGAAAAGACAAGACAGGTGTTGCGTAAGGAAGTGTGATTGTCGATCGTTTTACGAGGAAGGTGTGCACCGAGGCCTCTGTGTGCAGAAGGAGGGACCCGTATCTCATAAACCACTAGAAACGCTGAGACACCTTCGGATGTTATTTTTATGATCTCACAAAAGGTGAGGCCAATGTCAAAGTGACAATCAGGTGGTTTTTTTAAAAAGACTTAAGAACAGAGGTCTTCAAACTTGGCAGCTTTAAGACTTGTGGACTTCAACTCCCAGAATTCTCTGATTTAGAATAACTTTGTTGTCACTTTCAACGTATACAAATCGGCATACCTTAAAATGAAATTTCGTTGCATACAGCTCTCAAAGGCTCACTACTTCCTATATACACTACATAAACATGACCAAAAATAAATAAATACAAAATTATGCATATAACCATTATATATATATATATAATTTGATGTATATGCCGCCCTTCTCCGGAGACTCAGGGCGGCTTACAGTGCGTTAAGCAATAGCCTTCATACTTTGGTATATTTTATACAAAGTCAGCTTATTGCCCCCACAAACTGGGTCCTCAATTTACCTACCTCGAAAGGATGGAAGGCTGAGTCAACCTTGAGCCTGGTGAGAATTGAACTCGCAGTAATTGCAGGCAGCTGGTGCTACTTAACAGCACTTTAGTCTGCTGCGCCACCAAGGCATTTTTTTAAAAAAAATTGATTTATATGCCGCCCTTCTCCGGAGACTCAGGGCGGCTTACAGTGCTTTAAGCAATAGCCTTCATCCTTTTGTATATTTATACAAAGTCAGCTTATTGCCCCCATAAACTGGGTCCTCAATTTACCCACCTTAGAAAGGATGGAAGGCTGAGTCAACCTTGAATCTGGTGAGATTCGAACTTACTTTAATTGCAGACAGCTGATATTAAATTACAGTGCCTTGTCTGCAGAGCTATTATATGACACAGAGAAACAGCACTGTGTAGTATGGATGTATTTATTTATTTATTGTTTATTGGTTCGATTTATATGCCGCCCTTCTCCGGAGACTCAGGGCGGCTTACAATGCGTTAAGCAATAGCCTTCGTGCTTTTGTATATACCTGCTTAGTAGGGCGTACACAATTTGTTGATTTGGGTGCGTGCTTGTTCCTCCTGGCATGTCTAGTTTAATGAAAAAAAGGGCCTGCCCCAAAGAAGAGAGGGGGTCCATCTATTCTCCCAACAGCGCACAAATGCAGCACCAAAAGGATTGAAGTGGCCACATTTCTGGCTACAATTCACACATTCCACAAGCATCTAGAGTCCCACAAATGTTGGTTTGCAAATCTCTGAATAATCTCCATGCTGAAAGTCCTTGGAAAAACTCACTACAGCTACTTCTCGACTTGCGACCAGAATCGAGCCCCAAATTTATCTTCCGGAGCAAGAGGTTGTTAAGTGAGTTTTGCTCCATTTTACGCCTTTTCTTGCCACCGTTGTTAAGTGAGTCACGGCGGTTGTTAAGTTAGTAACACCGGTTGTGAAGTGAATCTGGCTTCCCCATCGGTTTTGCTTATCAGACGGTCGTAAAGGGGATCACGTTCCCACTGAAACATGTGATTTACAAGCCAGTCCTCGCACTTATGACCGTCACAGCATTCCCCACGGTCACATAATAAAAATTCAGGCACTTGGCATGTACTTATGACACATGACAAATGTGGTCATGTGATCCACATTTGCGACCTTTCCAGCCAGCTTCCGACAAGCAATTGGGGAGGCCAGATTTGCTTAACGACACTCTGATTCACTTAACAACGGTGGCAAAAAAATATATCGTAAAATCAGGCCTGTCTCACTGAACGAACTACCTTGTTTTAGCGATGGAAATGTTGTAAGTCCAGGATGATTATAAAGCCAAAATTTTATCCAACTTCATTTTTTTAAAAAAATTTGCTAGTCTCCTATCTTCGGAGGAATTTATTTATTTATTTAGAAAATTTATATTGCCGCCTGTTCTCACATGGCGACTCAATTTCCTTTTACCTCGATCGGAGTTTGACAGGATGACTGCTCCTGGCAATGGAGGCTTCGCTGACTGTCCATAAAAGTATTTATTTATTTAAAGTACCGCATGTCAATTCTTTACACTTGTTTATTACCTGCCACAACCTGTTCAACTCCTTCAAGAGATTTTAAAATCTGAGCCTCTCTGGTCTCCAGCCCGTCTTATCTTTCCATGCTTTCCTGCAAAAAAGGAAGGAAGGAAAAAGGAATAATGAAACGATAAAAACCTAACTAGGATCTATGGAGAAACCACCAAAATATTTACAAATAGTCCCGCACTTACAACAGTTCATTTAGTGACCGTCTGAAGTTACAACAGCCCTTCGCATGTATCTTGCGCAGGTGAACTGGTAGCGGCGGTGGGTGGATCAGCGAACTAGTAGCGGCGGTGGGTGGATTAGCGAACTGGTGGCGGTGGGTGGATCAGCGAACTGGTAGCGGCGATAGGTGGACCAGCGAACTGGTAGCGGTGGTGGGTGGATTGGCGAACTGCTAGTGGCGGTGGGTGGATCAGCGAACTGGTAGCGGCGGTGGGTGGATCAGCGAACTGGTAGCGGCGGTGGGTGGATCAGCGAACTGGTAGCGGCGGTTGGTGGATCAGCGAACTGGTAGCAGCGGTGGGTGGATCAGTGAACTGGTAGTGGCGGCAACACAAGGCTCCACCCACCCGCCCAGATGTCATTACTTCCTGGTTTTAACCAGGAAGTAACCCGTTTTTGACCCTCTGTGCATGTGCAGAAGGTCCAAAATCGCACACAACGATGGCCCGTGTACTCCCGAACTGGTAGGGAAGGTAATTAGATTTCACCCCTGGCTGGGACTCCGAACTCCAAAATTCCCAGCTCGAGGGCCAGCCAGGGAGGTGTAGTTCCCAGGAGATCTGGAGCATGCCCGCAAGGAGAAGAGCCAGCCCAAATGACTAAGATCCAGCGTGGGAATAAAAATAATTCTCTAACCACCCTGCCCTCGGGACCGTATTAATCTCCGCTGCTGGGTGGAAACCATCCAGAGGCATCAAAATGCCACACACATACACACAGAGACACACACACTACAGGCCGTTGTGCTGTCCTGGCAGATTTGTGGTTGCCTACTCATCTGCTTTTGCTTAGACCCTCCGAGAACACAACCGTGCCGATTTTCTCTCTCTTCCCAGGGTCTGGAAAAGGATGATTAGTCAGAGGTGGGTGGCACATGAATTAACAACCGGTTCTCCCAGCACCGAAAATGTGAGCGCACGGTGCATGCGTGTAGCCTTCCGTGCACGCATGTTGCTCACGCGTGCAGTTTGCGAGCATGCGCAATGGCTTAAAAATCGCGGCTAAATAGGACGGCGTAGCGCCAGGAATAGCAGAAATAATAATGATAATAAAATAATTATTATAAAATAATAAATCCGGAAATAGCAATAGCACTTAGACTTATATACCGCTCTCTTATTTTCTGTTCTCCCCAGCCTCCAGAGCCTTTCTAGGAGTCTGGCGAGAGCGAAAATGGCCTTCCCCCCCCACCGGGAGGCCAGAAACAACCCGTTTGCCAGCTTCCGGTGGGACCAAAAGGCCAGTTTTTTGCTATCCCCAGCCTCCAGAGCCTTTCTAGGAGTCTGGGGAGGACGAAAACGGCCTTCCCCACCCCCCCCGGAAGGCCTCCGGAGGCTGGTCCCACCAGAAGTTGGCAAATGGGCCGTTTCCAGCCTCCGGAGGGCTTCCGAGGGGTGCGGAAGGCCGTTTTTGCCCTCCCCAGACTCCTAGAAAGGCTCTGGAGGCTGGGGAGAGAGGAAAACAGGCCTTCCTCCACCCCACCAAGGTCCTCTGGAAGCAGGAAACAGCCTGTTTCCCTACTTCTGGTGCGCCCACAAGGCCCAAAAATCAGCTGGTCGGCACATGTATGCGTGCCAGAGCTGAACTCGCCTGCCCACTGATATGGCTAGGCGTGCCACCTGTGACACACGTGCCATAGGTTCGCCATAACGGCTATATACTATACCAGTGTTGGCTAAGCTTCCAGTTTCCGGCATGTCCATTCACGCCATTCACCTGGCCTTCCGGTTCCTGGTGCACATGCGTGCACGAAGACCAGCTGTCCGGTGCACATGCGCGTGCCGGAAACCCGAAGCTCAGTTTCCCGACACACACACATACGTGCCGGGGAGCTGCTTTTCTGGTTTCCGGCACTCCCGCACACATGCACACCAGCTGGCCGGCGTGCATGTGTGCACTGGAACCCGGAGGAGCAATGGGCAACAGATGGAATGCCTGAAGAGATGGCTCTTCGTGCCACATCCAGCACGCGTGCCATAGATTCGCCATCACCGCGCTATACATTTTTTTCTGTTCTCCTCCTCAGCTGCAGCCGGAGAAAGTCAGCTCCCCAACCTCCACAAATATTCTCATTCCCACACTCCCACGTGCCACTGGAAAATGTCACCCAAATGCCAAGCGGCCTTCTCTTATGTCCCCGCGCTGAAGCTCACGGCTTGCTCCCAGCTTGCAACGCTGGCAACATTTGCCAAGGTCGGGCATTCAAAATGCCAACCCTCGCCCTCCGAAGGCAGCCTCGAGAAACGAGGCCATCGTTCAGCTATCCTCAAAACAGTGGCGGATTGTGAAGTCGACAACAATCCACAGTCCAAGCCACGCCGGGGCCATGTAGAAACAATGCCAGCCTTGTTGCCGCCGAGCAAACTCACAAAGCATAGAATTCCTGCCGAAAAGAGGGATACGGCATGGGGCCCAAAAAAAAAAAAAACCCAGGCATTTTGCTGCTTCAAGCTCTCATTTCTTTACTCGTCGTTTAGCATTTGGAGGGCTTAGAGTCGTCTTTGAAAATACAGGGGAGTCCTCGCCTTACGACCACCACGGAGCCCAAAATTTATGTTGTTAAGCGAGACATTTGTTAAGTGAATACAGGTAATCCTTTGACTTACAACCGTTCGTTTCGTGACGGTCCGAAGTTACATCAGCATTGAAAAAAGTGACTTACGACCCTTTTTTGCGTCTCCGTGGACACGTGATCAGAATTCAGATGCTAGGCAACTGATTCGTATTTACGACGGTTGCAATGTTCCGGGATCAAGTGATTCCCTTTGGCGACCTTCTGGCAAGCAAAGTCAATGGGGAAGCCGGATTCGCTGAACGACCGTGTTAGTAACATAAGAACGGCAGCGATTCACTTAACAAAGGTGGCAAGAAAAATCGTAGAATGGCCCAAAACGCACTCCATAAATGTTTCACTTTGCAACGTACATTTTGATTAGATGAACAGAGTCGGAAGGGACCTTATAGGTCATCTAGTCCACCCCCACCCTCTGCCCAAGCGGGAGACCCTACGCCATTTCCGACAGAGGGCAGTCCACACTCTTCTTGAAAGCCTCCAGAGATGAAGCTCCCACAACTTCTAAAGACAACTTCTGTTCCATGGGTTGATGGTTCTCACTTTATGGGCTCCATAGCGGTCATAAGTCGAGGACTCCCTGTATTTAGGGAGTGTCACGGCATCCCCAAGGTCACATGATCAGAATTTGGGCATTTGGAAACTGAAGTGCATTTACGACAGTTGCAGGATCCTGGGGTTATGTCATCTCTATTTGTGACCTTCACAGATGGCTTCCGACAAGCATAGTAAATAGAGGAATTCGTTTAACAACGGTGCGATTCGCTTTACAGCTGCAGTCATTTTCTCAACTTATGGTGGCAGCAAAGTTCGTAAAATCAGGGGGGGGCTCCCCTTAACGACCCCCTTGCTTCTCGATGGAAATTTGGGAGACACGATAGCAGCATTCCAGTATTTGAGGGGCTGCCCCAGAGAGGAGGAAGGGGGTCAAACTATTTTCCAAGGCATCCAAAGGCCAGACAAGGAACAATGGATGGAAACTGACCAAGGAGAGATTCAACCTGGAAATAAGGAGAAATTTTCTGACAGGGAGAACAATCAACCCATGGAAGAGAAGTTGCCTTCGGAAGTTGTGGGAGCTTCATCACTTGAGATTTTCAAGAAGAAACTGGGCTGCCATCTCTCAGAAATGGTGTAGGGCCGTGATGGCGAACCTATAGCACAGATGCCACAGGTGACACGCGGAGCCATATCTGTGGGCCCGCGAGCGTTGCCCTAACTCAACTCCAGCGTGCGTGCGCGTGCCAGCCAGCTGATTTTTGGGCCTTCTGGGCCCACCGGAAGTTGGGAAACGGACATTTCCAGCCTCCAGAGGCCCCAGAAGGCCCAAAAATCAGCTGGCCAGAGCATCTCTGAAGGGGTGAGGGAGGCCATTTTTACCCTCCCCAGGCTCCAGGAAAGCCTCTGGAGCCTGGGGAGGGCGAAAAACGGTCCTTCCGGGCTGACTGGAAGTCAGGAAACGGGCCATTTCCGGCCTCCGGAGGACCTCAGGGAGGTGGTGGGGATGGCCATTTTTGCCCTCTCCAGGCTCCAAGAAAGTCTCTGGAGCCTGAGGAGGGCGAAAAACGGGTCTACCGGGCCCACTGGCAACCTTTATGCCGTTGTGTGTCAAAAGCAGTGGGCGAGACATGGGGGGCATTGAATTATGGGTATGGGCACACATGCGCGTGACCCCCCGTGCTTTCCCGCTTTTGGCACGCGATGGCAAAAAGGTTAGCCATCACTGGTATAGGGTCTCCTGCTTGAGTGGGGGGGTTGGACTAGATGACCTACAAAGTCCCTTCCAACTCTGTTAATCTGATCTGATTCTGACCGTTAAATCGAGGTCTATTGTAATTCTGCCTAGTTTAATCCTGCTTTCCTTTCCCGCTCGCCTGTCGCGTCCAGAAATTAGGGTGCGTGCGAAGGATGATCCCTTCGCCCCCTCCAGCATCTCCTCACGCGTTGCAACAGCTGGCAAGTATCTTTGGAGAGTTAATAATTAGAATGCAAGACCCGGAAAGAGACATTTAGAGACAGGATAGCACACACTGAAGGAATGTGAATTGTGCAATTCCCTGAGAGGCACCCAGAGGCTTCGTCGTGTTTGCCGTGACCACCAATGTGTGGTGTAAGGGCAGCGGGGCCTAGGGACACACCTACTCAATCTAGAAGTTTCCATTGTCAAAAAAAAAGAAAGCTAAACGTAGTTTGGTTTTGCTGTGCTCTTGCTGAATTTCAGATTACGAAAGCAAATTTGTGATCCCAGCAGGTGTGGTGTTTAATTTAATTTAATTAATTCAATTTATATGCCGCCCCTCTCCGAAGACTCAGGGCGGCTCACAATACATTTAAAAAAAAATCATTATAAAAAAAATAAACATTTAAAAATTAAAAACATTAAAAACTCATTCACGCCATTCATGGCCGGATCTCGCCAGATCACAAGGGCGAGATCAACGGCCCCAGGCCTGCCGGAAAAGCCAGGTCTTCACCGCTTTTCGGAAGGCCGATAGGGTGGGGACGGTCCGGACCTCAGGAGGTAACTGGGTCCAGAGAACTGGGGCAGCCACAGAGAAGGCCCTCCTCTGTGGGCCCACCAGCTGACGGGACCCGGAGGAGACCGACTCTGTGGGATCTTACCAGTCGCTGGGAGTTATGCGGTAGAAGGCGGTCTCGAAGATAACCTGGCCCTGAACCATGTAGGGCTTTAAAGGTAATAACCCACACCTTGAATTGTGACCGGAGACCAATAGGGAGCCAGTGCAGCTCGCGGAGAATTGGTGTAATGTGGGTGTATCTAGGTGCACCCACGACAGCTCGCGCGGCTGCGTTCTGGAGCAACTGCAGTCTCCGAACACTTTTCAAGGGTAGCCCCATGTAGAGCGCGTTGCAATAATCTAACCGTGAGGTGACAAGGGCATGAGTGACCGTGAGGAGAGCCTCCCGATCCAAGTAGGGTCGCAATTGATGCACCAGGCGAACCTGTGCAAAGGTCCCCCTAGCCACAGCTGTCAGATGTTGCTCTAATTTTAGCTGTGAGTCTAGGAGGACACCCAAATTGCGAACACGTTCTGAGGGGGACAATTTCTCTCCCCCCCCCCGAACCAAGGATGGACAGTCAACATAGTCTTTAGGAGGCAATACCCACAGCCACTCGGTCTTGTCTGGGTTAAGTCTGAGCCTGTTGACTCCCATCCAGACCCTCACAGCCTCCAGGCATTGGCACATTCGCTTACTTTCCCTACCGGTTCGCCAATCTGAGTGCGTGCGCATGGCGCATGGGCTTTGCTCGCATTCATGCCTTCGGTGCATGCACCTGGCCTCAAAACCGTGCCTAAATAGGATGGCATAGGGGCGGGGGACAGGCCCACTGGCTGAATACCACCTCTGGAACCCAGGGCAAATTCTCTACCAAAACACAGGAAAATCTCGGTTTACGACCACAATTTTACCCATATTTCCCTTGCTAAGTGAGACATCTGTTGAGCAAGCTTTGCCCCATTTTACGACCTTTCTTGCCACAGTTATTAAGTGAGCCACTGCAGTTGCTGCTGTGACAGTCCTAAGTACAGGCAGTCCTCGACTTACGACAATTGAGCCCCAAATTTCCATTGCGAAGCGAGACGTTTGTTAAGCGAGCACTGCCCCATTTTAGGGTCTTTCCTGCCACGGATGTTGAGTGAATCACTGCGGTTGTTAAGCTAGTAGCATGGTTGTTAAGTGAATCTGGCTTCCCCATTGATGTCGCTGGTCAGAAGGTCGCGAAAGGGGAACGCGTGACCCTCTCAGAAGGTCACAAAAGGGATGATCCCTGGGACACTGCAACTGTCATAAATACAGGTCAATTGCCAAGTGTCTGAATTTTGACTGCATGGCCACGGGGATGCCGCAATGGTCGTAAGTGTGAAAAAAAGGTCATAAGTCCCTTTTTTCAGTACCGTTGTAACTTGGAAAGATCAATGAACGAATTTTGTAAGTCCAGTCCCAAAAAGTGCTTTTTCAAAAGGTAACTGGGCTTTCTTTGTTTTTTGCTTGAAGAGGTTTCACTTCCCATCCAAGAAGCTTCTTCAGTTCTGGCTGAATCTTTCCATTCTCAGCCAGTCAGTCAGACTGGGCTAAGAAGGGTGGCCAATAAATTTTCTCTCTGTCTCTCTGTCTCTGTCTCACTGTCTCTGTCTCTGCCTCTGTCTCTGTCTCTGTCTCTGTCTCTGTCTCTCTGTCTCTGTCTCTCTGTCTCTCTGTCTCTGTCTCTGTCTCTCTGTCTCTGTCTCTGTCTCTCTGTCTCTCTGTCTCTGCCTCTGTCTCTCTGTCTCACTGTCTCTGTCTCTGTCTCTCTGTCTCTGTCTCTCTCACTGTCTCTGTCTCTGTCTCTCTGTCTCTGTCTCACTATCTCTGTCTCTGCCTCTGCCTCTGCCTCTTTCTCTCTGCCTGTTTCTCTGCCTCTGTCTCTCTGTCTCTGTCTCACTGTCTCTGCCTCTCTCTCTCTCTCATAATCCTTGACTTGCAACCAATTGCTTTGTAACTATTCAAAGTTATACCAGCATTGAAAAAAGTGACTTACCATTGGTCCTCATAATTATAACAGTTGCAGCATTCCCCATAGCCACGTGATCAAAGTTCAAGCATCCGGCAAGTATCTATGACAGTTGGAGCATCCCAGAGTCAGGTGATTGCCATTGGAAACCTTCCCAGCTGTCCCTCTGACAAGCAAAGTCAATGGGGAAAACCAGATTCTCTTTAAGGGCAGCATGATTTGTTTAACTGCAGTGATTTGTGTAATGACCGCTGTGGTCGTTAAGCGAATTTAGCTTCCCCCGTGGTGCTTGTCAAATCACAGGACCCCAGGATGGTGCAACCATCGTAAATACATACCGTTGGCCAAGCACCCAAACTTCACACGACCGCGGGGGTGCTGCGACAGTCATAAGTACGAGGTCATCAGCCACTTTCTCCAGAGTTGTTCCAACTTTGGACGGTCACTGAACCAAAGGCCGAAAGCCGAGGACTACCTGCTCCGCCCAAAGCCAGGGAAGTATCCTGTGTGAATGCAACACTGCTCGCTTGCTAACATTTCTCCCTCATCTTTTCTTCCAAGGACTCTCCAAGGGCGATGGAGAACGTCACGTTCCTGCTGTACTCGCTGAACGCCAGTGTCAACTCCTCGGAAGCTGGGTGCGGCGAGGAGGACCACCCTTACAAGTGCAAGTTTAACGAGGACTTCAAATACATCCTCCTGCCCGTCTCCTACAGCATCGTCTTCGTGGTGGGCCTGACCCTCAATCTGCTGGCCCTCTACGTCTTCATCTTCCGCATCAAGACCTGGAACGCCTCCACCACGTACATGTTCAACCTGGCGGTGTCTGACTTACTCTACGTCATCTCCTTGCCCTTGCTAGTCTACTACTACGCCATGGAGGACAACTGGCCCTTCAGCGTGGGCTTGTGCAAGATTGTCCGCTTCCTTTTCTACACTAACCTGTACTGCAGCATTCTCTTCCTCCTTTGTATCAGCGCCCACCGTTTCATGGGCGTCTGTCTCCCTCTGAAGTCCCTGGAGTGGGGTCAAGTCCGCTACGCCCGTTGGGTCTCCGCCATCGTCTGGTTGGTGGTGATCTCCTGCCAGTCCCCGGTCCTCTTCTTCGTGACCACCAGCCAGAGGTGTAACAGCATCACCTGCCACGACACGTCCGCCAAGGAACTCTTTGACCAGTTCCTCATCTACAGTTCAGTGATGCTGGTCCTTCTCTTCTGCATCCCTTTCCTTCTCCTCATCATCTGTTACTGCATGATGGCTCGGAAACTTCTCCAGCCCACGCGGGGCATCTCCCGCATGTCCAGCTCCAAGAAGAAATCTGTCAAGATGATCATCATCGTTATGATGGTCTTCATCATTTGCTTCCTGCCCTTTCACATCACCCGTACTCTGTATTACTCCTTCCGCAGCTGGGACCTCAGTTGCCCCACGTTGGACGCCATCAACCTGGCCTACAAACTCACCCGCCCTCTGGCCAGCACCAACAGCTGCCTGGACCCTATCCTGTACTTTTTGGCCGGGCAAAGGTTTGTCAAATTTGCTTGCCCCCAGGCCACGGCAAAAAATGGTACCCAGTCGGCGACGAGTACCGTTCCGCATTGCAACTTTCGGGGACGAGACAACTTAGCCATGAGAGCCAAAAACACGGTATCGTAGCCAGTCTCGTTTCGAACATTTCCTGCAAATATGTTCTTTTGGGGAAGTCGCCGATATCAGGAACGACATCTTCTGAAATTCTGCAAAGGTGTTTTCCACCAAAGTTGGTACGAATGGTACAACAGACGCGTGAAAAAAATCACTATTTAAATGACTTTTTTAGAAGGACGGAGAACCGAACGCTCTTAAGCACTTGTCTAAGTTTCCAAGGCGCAGCTTGCGCCACGGAAGGTCAATTGTCGTTATCACCAGGGGAGATTATCTCTTGGGGAAACAAAAATTAATGTAAATCAGACACTGTCTGGGTTCACACAACATGGAAACAGGGTTAAAACGTGGCTTGGCAGGACCAGAGACCAGGATGGGCCGGCAACAGCTGACACCGAGGTCTTATCGCTTCCTTGTTCCTAAATATTGTCATGTTTTCCTTTGCAATGATGGACAATTTTTCCCTTTTATTAATGTCCCTCCAAGACTCTTCGGGAGGGTTTTGCTTCTGAGAGACGGAACCGAATAAAAATAACAGTTGTACTGATATAGTAATATATAGCACTAATAGTAATCCATTGTGGTTTGTGATGTGGGAATTCAACGATTGAAAGCAGAGGCCTTTTAATAAAATATTTTCGTCTGAAAAAATGCCACTGGACACTGATTTTCGGCTAAGATAGACTAGCATGTTTGTGTTCCTACAATGTTAACATGTTGAGTGAACCAAGCTATCATGCTGAGTCATTCTTTCTGAGTTTACACAACATCTTTAACTCAGTTAAGGAAAGACCTAATGGAAATAAATCTTCATACAACTTGTTAAATTTAGTTAGCATTAACCTTGATGGGGGGTTTTGGTGGCTAACGGTGTAGCGTTAAATTAACCAGATTACTACACCGGGTTAATGATAGCAATTTTCCAATATTTGAGGGGCTGCCCCAAAGAAGAGGGGGTCCATCTATTCTCCAAAGCACCAAAGAAGGCAGGACAAGAAGCAACGGATGGAAACTAACCAAGGAGAGAAGCAACCTGGAACTGAGGAGGAATTTCCTGACAGTGAGAACAATTAACCAGTGGAACGACTTGCCACCAGAAGTTGTGGGTGCTCCATCACTGGAGGATTTCAAGAAGAGATTGGACAGCCAGTTGTCTGAAATGGCCTAGGATCTCCTGCTTGAGCAGGGGGTTGGACTAGAAGACCTCTAAGGTCCCTTCCGATTCGGTTATTCTGTTACTCTGGTTCGATAGCATAGTGTATATAGTGTGAAGTTTTAGGCAATGTGGTTTATTTGTTGCATCACAATACGTGGTGTGAGCCATGTCACTTGAGTTCTCTTGATTTTAAGAGGTCACCTGAATTTCTAATATTGTACTGTAATTGATAAAGCATTGCACGACTAATACATGGTATTTATTAGCCCCTCCATTTTATGGACCTCCATTCAGGAGAATTTTGAATGCAATGGAGAAAATCCACTTGGAAAACATTCATAAATTTTTGATAAAATTTGAATATGAATTAGAAAAATTTCCACGTAGATTATGAAAAGATTTACTTAATTATCTACCTTCTGATTTAATGGGCATTTGGCTTTATCGGACACCCTTTTCCCCTCGACAGATCCATAAAATTAAGGTTTTTAACTAATTTTTTCCCTGGGCTGCAACATTTCAGCTTCCAAGCAGCCGTAGAAAGGAAAATGGAAATGGTATTTTTCAAACGTGGCAATTTTCAGATGTGTAGATTTCAACTCCCAGAATTCCCCAGGCAACCTACAGGCTGGGGAATTCTGGGAGTTGAAGTCCACCCATTCGAAATTTGCCAAATTTTGAGACTTAAACCGCTCTGCGTCAATTTTTTCTCCACTGGAAAGTTCTGATTCGGGGAAAGTTTGTCCAATACAAGTAGTCCTCGACTTACGGCCATTCATTTAGTGACCGTTCAAAGTTAAAATGGCCCTGAAAAAGGTGACTTGTGACTTTTCCCCCCACATTTACGACCGTTGCCGCATATATCCCCCACGGTCACGCGAGCAAAATTCAGACGCAGCTGGGCAACAGTTTCGTATTGATGACCGTCGCGTGATCCCGTTTGCGACCGCCTGACAAGCAAAGTCGATGAGGGAAGCTAGATTCACTTAACGACTGGACAACTGCAGTGACTCACTTAACAACGGCGGCAAGAAAGGTCCTAAAATGAGGCAAAACTCTGTCATGCTTAGCCAACAAAAGTTTTGGTCTCAATTGCAGCCGTAAATTTGAGGACTTCCTGTATGTGCAAACTGCCACCTGCGATACAGGTGAAAACACGCTAAACTGGCCATTTAAGTGCTTTATAATCACTTTATAAGCAGGGCAGGTAATTCACCTCCTTCCTGTTAACCTTGGAGAACACTGACTCTTGCAGAAAGTTGCAAATTGCGGTGCTTAATGAAGTGCCCTTAAAACCCCCATTTTCCAAACAGCGGTTTGTTAAAGATCCTGCAAGATTTTAAAGGGTGTTTTTTTTTTCCTTCTGGGGGGGGAAACTCCTCTGTGCTGAAAATCAGGATTTGCATCGTTTCCCAGCCATAAAACCCACAAAATCCCCTTAAGGCGATCCGTTCTCGTCCCCTCCTACCCCCAAACTCGCAGGTTGGGTTCACACAACCTTTTCATCCTGGTTAAAAAAAATAAATAAACCATGCCTGTGAAGCCGAGTTCATTTGAAGATGGACAGTTGCAGGAAAAAAAATATATGACCTATTACTATTACCAAGATAGTTTGTGGATGAAATTCGTTCTGTCAGGTTAACCTGGGTTTGAGGGGTTATCTGAACGCAGGCAGCATTGGGTTAACGTCATTTGCACGCACTGATCTGGATTTTCAGACATAGGAGTCCCATAATCTGAGGTTAAATGTGCTTCAGAGACCTGGTTAGGTTTTTAAAAACCATTTTAATTTGTGGTGTGAACACAACCAGCATGAAGAAATATTTTCTTATGCATCGGGGAGTGAATGGTGCTCTGCTTTGCAATAATTATTTATTTTTATTTAATCGTTCACCCAATTTATATCCTATTCTTCCCTCCAAGACCATCCCTGGTTCTCATATATCTGATTGCCCCCCCCCCTTATAACAACGACTCAGCGAGGTAGGCTGGATTTGGAGGGGCTGATCTGACATCCAAGCATTTGCTTGGCTGAATTTGAACTCGCTTCTCCTTTTAAACCGGTTCTGACCCCCGAAATCTTTTCTCACCGGATATGAAGAAGTGCCTTGTTCACAGAGAGGCTTCATTCCTCATGAACTTTTAAGCACTGACTGGGATTCGTGATTTTAACCAAGATTCTTTAATCCTTATTTGTGGTTTTTTGGGTTCTTGTTTTTAGGTGTCTTTGTTTTTTTAAAAATGCACTCTGTTTGGAAGGAGGAAAAGCGGCCGCTGATCATTTAAATAAAGGTGTTATTAATCAGAAGACGTTTAACGGGGTTGAGGCAACGGTGGTCAAAAAAGTCAAGATGGCGGCAGAAATGGCACCATCAAAACTTTACCTCAGGTTTTGATTGACTGTTGCAGACGCCATCTTGACTCTGCAAAATAGTGGAATCGTATCAATTCAAAAGACAACTGACCATTGGGGTAACTGAACATTAATCCGGACAAAGAATTTTGTTATACCTAGAGGCAATCCTCGTTCGTTTAGTGACCATTCAAAGTTACGACGGCCTTGAAAAAAAATGACTTACGACAGGTTCTTGCACTTACGACCGTTGCAGCTTCCCCACGGTCACCGGATCAGAATTCAGATGCTTGGAAATGGACTCATCTTTATGACGGCCGCAGCATCACGTGATCCCCATTTGCGACCTTCCCAGCCACTTTCCATCAAGCAAACCCAATGGGGGAAGCTCAGTTTGCTTAACGACCGTATGTTTCACTTAACAACTTTCCTGATTCGCTTAAGAACCATGGCAAGATCGTAAAATCCTCAATTTAGGTAGTCCTCAACTTACGGCCATAACTGAGGCCAAAATTTCTGTTGTTAAGTAAAACAGCAGTTAAGTTAATTTTGCCTCATTTTATGACCTTTCTTGCCATAGTTGTTAAGCGAATCACTGCTGTTGTTAAGTTAGTAACTTGGTTGTTAAGTGAATCTGACTTCCCCATTGACTTGGCTTGTCAAAAGGTCGTAAAAGAGCATCACGTGGCCCCTGGACATAGCAACGGTCATAAGTGTGAGTCAGTTGCCAAGTGCCTGACTTTTGGTCACATGGTCATGGGGATGCTGAAGCAGTCATTAAGTGTGAAAACTAGGCATAAGTCACTTTTTTCAGTGCCACTGTATCTTTGAAAAGTCACTAAATGAATTGTTATAAGTCAAGGACTGTCTATATGTTGGAGAAGAATTTTTGGAGGGTACAAATTCGAAACCCCAGAGAATGTCTAAGCTAAGTTTTTATATGTTTCATGTACTAAATGCTTGACCAGTAACAAAATGGACAGACTTCAGTAAGGAAACTCAAATGATTTTTTTAATGTATTTGCCTGACAATTTTGCAAAAATAAATCCCAAATTAAAATTTCATCTGTTTTGGCCTAACTCTTTATTGAATTCTGATTATAAAACATATATGTCAATAATTGCTGAAAGGTTAAAAATGATTCTAAATAAACATACATTCGGATCAAAATGGTTTTTTGGCCAGGACGACTAATTAAAAATAATACATGCACCATAATCAATATATTAAGAGTTTTATGAAGCACATCCAGAGAAACAAATTTCACTGGTTTTCCTTGATGCCCAAGAAGCTTTTGATAATTTGAATTGAAGATTTATGATACAACAAATAAAAAAAAATGGAATTTGGGTCAAAATTTGAAAAAATGATTGAGAAAATATATTCAAAACAAACTGCAAGAGTAATTATCAACCAAGATATGACAGATGGATTTGAGATAACAAAAGGAGTGAGACAAGGATGCCCACTTTCCCCAATTCTCTTTATACTATCATTGGAGCCACTCCTGAAAAAAATTAGGGAAGATTGAGAGATAAAAGGATTTGATGATAAAAAATGAGGAGTACAAATTGCAAGCCTTTGCAGACGATATGGTCTTTATAATTGAGGAACCTCTAAAATCAGGCCCCAAATTGATTAAAAAAGTAGAAGAATTTGGCGTAGTGGCAGGTTTAAAAATTAACATAAAACAAATCTAAATTGTTAACAAAAAACCTTACAAAAAAAACAAGAGACAGAATTAGAAAATAGTATGAATATTCAGATAACAAAAAAATAAAATAAAATATTTAGGGATTTGGCTAACAGCAAGAGGCTCCTCAATCAAAAAGGAAAATTATGATAAATTAATACTGCAAATTGGAAAAGATTTGGAAAATTGGAAAAATCTATAAATTTCATGGATGGGAAGAGTGGCGGCAATAAAAATGAATATCCTGCCCAAAATTTTATTCCTCTTCCAGGTTATACCGATAAAAATAGAAAAAAGTTTTTTTGATTTATTAAACAAATTGACCTCAAAATTTATATGGCAAGGGAGAAAATCTAGAATTAGATTAAAAACATTACAAGATACCAGGGATAGAGGAGGAGTAGCATTTCCAGATTGGGAGATTTATTACCAAGCAGCATGCCTAACATGGTTAAAGGAATGGATGGAGTTGGGAAATAAAAGAAGAAAAAAAGAAACAGAAGGACACGATTTACAGACAGGATGGCATGCATTCCTATGGGGTGAAAAACATAAAACCCAGGGATATTTTAGAAGGCATATAATTAGAAATTCATTATTATTAATTTGGAATAAAATCAAAAAGCAACACTATATAAGAATACCGCTTTGAATTTCTCCCAACGAAACATTAACGCACCCAAATTTAGTAGACTGGACCAAAATAATTAGATACAGAGATATATTAAATGATTTGGGAAAATTAAAAACAAAACAAGAACTGGAACAGGATTTGAATAGGGAAGTTGAATGGTGGACATACTTACAAATAAGATCAAAATACATAGAAGATACAAAAATAGATCAGGTACAATTAGAGCAAAATGAACTGGATAAAAGTATATATGGGACGGAACAAAAACTAATTAGTAAAATATATAAATTTTTATTACAGTATAAAATAGAAGAGGAAATAGTAAAAGATACTATGATCAAATGGGCAAGGAATTTCAATTGCATAATAAAATTAGAGAAGTGGGAAAAGATGTGGAGAATAATTATGAAATTGACAATATCAACGGCATACAAGGAAAACCAGATGAAAATGTTCCATAGATGGCACTTTCCGCCAGCTAGAATAGCAAAGATGTTCCTTAGTAATTCACCGAAATGTTGGAAATGTAAGAGTAACTATGGAACATACTATCACCTCTGGTGGAAAAGAAATTCTGGGCTAAAGTTAAAAAGTGGATAGAGGAAATAATTCAGAATTCAATAAAGGGAGAACCTGAGCAGTTTTTACTAGGGATTTCCATAGAAAATTATACCAAGGAAATACACTATTTAATATTACATATACTGACAGCAGCCCGCAGTCTATGTGCAAAATTGGAAGAAGGAAAATCCACCCATCAGAAGAAGATTTAATTAAAAAATTTTTAGAATGCGCAGAGATGGACAAATTAACAAAAAAGTTCAAGGAGAAAGAGGATACAGAATATTACAGTGTGGTGTAGATGATATGAATGGTTGGAGAATAGGAAAAATGAGAAAGAGGAATAAAGGAGAGGGAGGAAAAAATGTTGATCATGGAACAATGTAGACGAAATAAAGAAAGATGGGAAACAATTGTTGAATAAGACAAAATTAAAAGATGTGTAAATAGATGTAAATAGCAAGAAAGGATCACTTCGAAGCAGCTGTAGGAAAAAGTGAGATGTATATAAATGTGTGTTTGGGTCTTGTTTTAATGTATTCAAAATAAAAAAACTTTTTAAAAAAATAAAAAAAAATTCATCTGTTTTGACAAGTTAGTTGGATTTTACTTGGTTTTTTTTTTAAAGGTGAAAGGGGTGGAGATTGACAGATGTTTTGACAGATTTAAATAAGAGATTTTAAACAGAATTTGAACAGGGTTCCTCAACCAAGCAAGAACTTCAAGGCCATTTTAATTCTGTGATTCGACACGTAAGAGGAACTTACTCTTCTCTTGTGTTAAAAGAAGTGTTAGTTTTTCCCTAGGATGTCCTCTTCTTCCCTTTTTTGATCTGTTTGATTTTGTTGATGTTTTAAGGATTGTGACTTGATTTGATTGTGTTCAAATGGCGGGAAACCAATTTTATGAATTCCTTGAGGTCAGTTTGAGCAACTTTAATCTGATTTTTTGGGGGGGATGTTATTGTTTTCAGCCTATCTGTAGTCCGTAAGTCATCTAAAATATAATGGTGGGGATATGATTATGATTATCAAATCGGTGTCAACGCTTAGCAACCACATAGACCGTACAGATTATCAGGGTTGGAAGGGACCTTGTAGGTCAGTGACGGCTAACCTTTTTGCCGTCGTGTGCCAAAAGTGAGGGGAGCACAGGGGGGGGGGTCACACCCACATGTGCCCCCACCCATAATTCAGTATGCCCCACCCCCACGCACATGCGCGTGTGACACCCCTGCGGTTTCCCCATTTTTGGCATGCGATGGCACAGTGGGCCCAGTAGACCCGTTTTTCGCCCTCCCCAGTCTCCAGAGACTTTCTCGGAGCCTGGGGAGGGCTAAAACAGCCTTCCCCATCTGCTCCAGAGGCTGGAAATAGCCTGTTTCCTGACTTCTGGTGGGCCCGGAAGGCCCGAAAATCAGCTGGGAGCTGAGCTAGGGCAATACTCGCGTGCCCACCATATGGTTCTGCAGGCCATCTGTGGTACACGTGCCATAGGTTCGCCATCACGGTTGTAGGTCATCTAGTCCAACCCCCTACTCAAGCAGGAGACCCTACACCAATTCTGACAAACGATTTCTCCTTTGATTTGTCCCCATTCTGGTCCTTCAGACACTCGTAAAGGCCCTCCAAAGCACCTGAAGGCAGGACAAGAAGCCGCGGATGGAAAGTAATCAAGGAGAGAAGCCAACTTAGAAATGAGGAGAAATTTCCTGACTGTGAGCACAATTAACCTGTGGAACAGCTTGCCACCAGAAGTTGTGGGTGCTCCATCACTGGAGGTTTTCAAGAAGAGATTGGACAACGATTTTTCCCGAATGGTAGAGGGTTTCCTTCAGGGGCAGGGGGTTGAACTAGAAGACCTCCAGGGTCCCTTCCAATCCTGTTTACAGGTAGTCCTCCACTTACAACAGTTCATTTAATGACCGTTCGAAGTTACAAAAGTGACTTATGACCATTTTTCACAGTTATGACTGACCCTTGCAGCATCCCCCAGGGTCACCTGATTTACATTCCGGATGCTTGGAAACCGCCTCACATTTACGACGGTCACAGTGTCCCTGGTGTGTGTGTGTGTGTGTGTCACGGGATCCCCTTTTGTGACCTCCTGACAAGCAAAGTCAAGGGGGAAGCCAGATTCGCTTCAACGACCGCGTGACTCATTTAACAACCGCAATGTTTCGCTTAACCAACGTGGCCAGAAAAGTCGTAAAAAGGGGGCAAAGCTCACCAGACCAATGTCCCACTTAGCAACATAAATGTTGGGCTCAGTTGTGGTCGTAAGTTGAGGACTACCTGTATTCTGTTGTTTGATCTCCTTCTTGAGCCGGGGGCTGGACTAGAAGTCCTCCAAGGTCCCTTCCGAGTCTGATTCTTTCCCAAATCCTTTCCAGCCCCCAGCTCCTTTGTAGCTGAGCCCCTCTTCCTTGCTGCTGTGTGTCTTCTTCTCTTTCCTTCCATCTTTTTCCAGCATTTGAATCTTCTTGGAGGTGGGACTCTTCACATCATGGTCTCACCAAAGGCCTGAAGGGGAAGAAGAAGGACGGATTAATTTTTGCCATCTAAATCCGTTCACTATTCAGAGTTCCCGAGTCTTTTTAGAGACCAGGATTCGCCACCAGGGGGCAGCAAAGAAAAAGAGAAATTAAAGGCAAGAAAACTACAGCCTTACTTAAGAGTTATACATACATGGAAATATTTTAGAAGAACTAGAAAGTGTTAAGTAAGAAGTGTAATAGAATAGAATTCTTTATTGGCCAGGTGTGATTGGACAGAATTTGTCTTGGTGCATACGCCCTCAGTATAGAATAGAGTAGAGTAGAGTAGAGTAGAGTAGAGTAGAGTAGAGTAGAGTAGAGTAGAATAGAATAGAATAGAATAGAATAGAATAGAATAGAATAGAATAGAATAGAATAGAATAGAATAGAATAGAATAGGGAATATAGAGTAGAATAGAGTAGAGTAAAGTAGAGTAGAATAGAATAGAATAGAATAGAATAGAATAGAATAGAATAGAATAGAATAGGGAATATAGAGTAGAATAGAGTAGAGTAGAGTAGAGTAGAGTAGAATAGAATAGAATAGAATAGAATAGAATAGAATAGAATAGAATAGGGAATATAGAGTAGAATAGAGTAGAGTAGAGTAGAATAGAATAGAATAGAATAGAATAGAATA